CATGGGCCTTGTGAGCTTTTGACACCCTGATTTCGGCCTTTTTTGCCAGTCTTACCTCCCACCTATCATGGAACATGTTGTTCGACGATGTACAGGGGTCAAGGTCAGGGTCAAGGTCAACCTAGGTCATCTAAGATCATTGCATTTTAGGCAAGCTGAATTTACTTTTTGTGAAGTTTTTTGATTGCATTTTTGGTAAAAGCTTCTCAGATCATGATTTCATGTAATATGGGCCCAAAAACAATCGGTGCACACATCAGTATACACACAGACACACACAGACATACAAACACATATAATTGACCTTGACCTAACTTGACCTGAAATGACCTCAGCAGCAAAATTCTGGTCGGGTAGTGTGACAAAGAGGTTCTAGCTGGCTTGGCACCAGAAAACAGCATCGTCATCGGTATTTGATAAGCAGCGCACTTGATATCCAGCGGTGACCCAAAACAGCAACATTTTTTAGTTTGACCTGACCTGGAAGGTCAATGACTGACCTGAGAAGGTAAAACTGGGTATCATTGGATTCGTCTCTTCCCAAAGAATCTTTTTGGTCTTTACCGCTAAGCTCTATCTCCAACAGGAACGAAATGGCGCGGGGGGGGGGGGTGGCAACCACCCCCCCCTGTGCGTTCTAGGATGGGAAAATGGCATGTGCGGGCGAGGGTTAAACCCTTAGTCTTACTCTCTGCCTCCATCTTAACCTCCGTTTCACCGTATTGCACAATGCCCATTTCACTGTATCACGAAAGCACGTGCGTCTCTCGTTTGTTCATTCGTCTTGCAATCGGTCTCAAGCACTCCCTCTATTGTCCCACCGGCACAGTGATATTTTAGCCCAGGAATTTAAATGGCTTCTAACCACTGTTTGTGACAGATTATCTGCGAAATGATTCAAGGGTACGCGTCAGGACTTCCGCAATAGCCGTGCGTTGCAGCGTATTTTGCGAGTGGGACCAGCAATAAACGAAACGTTTTGTCTCGTCCCATTTCCCAACGACACTGTCTTAGCAAATGCAACGAAAGACACCCCCGAAATGCCAGGAGACAGTCGACATTTCTGCAGTACTATCGGCTAAACCAGTTAAACTTGACGACAAATCACCGGCAGTGCACACAAACTGCAAAAGCTACTATGGGCAACAGCTTCCACAAGCTTTCTCCTATGGTGTTAATTACATATTCTGATCACCAGCAAGACACCGAGAGCCTTTGCCGAAAATAATCCGAAACAATAAAAATCGCCATCATGACTGAGTTCTGGTCACCTGACTCATAAATGGCCAAAGTGATATGGCATCGATATTTACGGATGTTTTTTAACCCGCTTGTCACTACATGGCTCAAGAAATGACAAAGAGAAATATTTCAGTCACCATCCGCTAGAACATGTGATCTATCGTCCCGGCGCGAGTCAAATAGTGTGACCAAATCCGAAAAAGTTCCTTACGATGTAAAGGATAATTGAATAATTTTATAGCAGGTGTTAGCGGCACCCACAAAAGTAGGTCAATGCCTCCGACAACAGGGAACATAAACCACAATCATCGATGTGAAACACTCATCACATCCGTTCAAACATTCCCGTTCAATGCACCTACAATCCCCAGATACACACAGATAGGGTGATACAGATATCAACCACGCGGCCAGGGCAGTGTGATCACTCAAAGCAGTAAACCACTACACACATGGGCTGCGTTTAAAGGCCGTGGTACCATTTGATTCACCAGTTAAGCCCACTGCCTATCTATTGCGCAGCTTTGTCATGTTAATGCGCACCGACATTCCATTCCTATGACCAGGCTAAAATTTGTTTGTGTTTCCGACCGTTCGTTGAATTTCAGTTGCAGAATCACTACGCTGTGTACAGTCATATTCATGCGTAATAACACTTTAATAGCCCAAAGCGACGGAAATCGCCCGAATCATAGCTTCAAATATGTCATTTAGGCTCTCGCTATTGGTTGGGGCACTATTCAATCGAAGAACGTCGACGTTCTGCAAATATACTGCGATCCGCGCGGTTCGCTCGCCTTTGATGTGCACATTGCACACTGTGGGCTGCACAGTCGAGCGAATCACTAAACCAAGAAAAAATCGAGGATGAAAATGCGCCGCATGGACCCCTCACAGCTATCTCGCTCTGCGAAATATCATATACTGGTGCGGCGAGTTTGAGACGAGCAATATTGAAATCCGAGCGACGGTTAGGCAAGCGAAGATCAAACAGTCGTGGAGTGTTCCTGACGCAATCCCGGGATATTAGAGCGGCAGTCGTCAAACATAGGGGAGGTGTGCAATGATCAGCGATTTCTCCAAGTGTAAATGGCAGGTAATGGCATACAACCGAGGCCGGAACGCATGACTCAATGTTAACCCTATTCCTGGCGGGCTCCGCCGGGACAAGAAACTGGCGGGGGGGGGGGCCGATTCGCCCCCCCCCCCCCTGAGATCTCGAGAACGAAGCAAGATAGCGACAAGCGGTAAACGGCATCGGATACGCATGGACAAGGTCTACAATTTTTACTAAGGTCATTTTCAGGTCAGGTCAAAGATGACGTCACAGGGGTCGAAAAAGTCAAAATGGCGGCGCTAGATATGGAGAGAGTTTTTCTCGAATAACTTTCGAATTAGTCAAGATAGGAACAAACTAAGGGCATCATCGTGATCCTCTCGTCAATCCGCATCGAATGATATATATGTTGACCTCGAAAGGTCAAGGTCAAAGGTTGACCTCAGGTCACGTGACCTCGAGGTCATCATGTATATCATTCGATGCGTCTTGACAAGCTGAACACAATGAGACCATCCACGCGTCTGTATCTTGTTCCTGTACGGAGTTATTGGCCAAAAACCTTTGGTGACCTTTGATGACGTCACATGACCTCACAGCTGCCCAACAGCAAAACAGAACTCAAGGTAGTGAAGGTTGATCGTATATGAAGTCATGTATGGTATATGGGGCCATTCCGACCCGTTTTAGTGGTAAAAACAGGGAGTTGATTTTTCCCCCATTGACTTATAATGGGGAGGTCGCGAAACTGACCTGACCTTAGGTCACCGATATCAAAATTCCGAGATATACAAATTGCACATACTGGTACCCTAACTAAAGCCTGAAGAGAAGAAATTGATCGGTCAAAAACTCTAGCTCTGGCGTGATTGCAAACTTTTCTGAGGTAGGGTCACCAAACCGCCTCTGGTGACCTGACCTGAGGTCAGATCAACTCAAAATTTTCAGACATGTTGCGTAGAAGCCTTTTAGGAAAAGTCAGAAAATTTGAGCTTCCTAGCTCAACGCGTTTGGGAGAAATAACCAAAAAACCTCAGGGGGGGGGCTCCTGAGGCCCCCCCCCCCCCGCCAGGAATAGGGTTAATACATGCAGGATACATTATATGAAATCGGTGCGAACTCAGTTACAAAGGTTGTACAGATATTGCTGAAATTAATTAGATACCAAAATTGTCGTGTTTCAATAAATCAATCTCGCCGTCATTCACATATTCTCTCTCTTGGCATCTTCAGTTGCATCGAAATTGACCTGACACGTTTTCCTTAAAACGTTATGAACATTATCGTAAGTAAAATGTAGTAAATAGATACAATCGCATGCTGCAGCTACGCACACTCCCGTACTTAACACGCGCAGTGCACTCTACCATGTATACAGCTATCCGCGCGCATGTTTCGCATACAATGTGCATGAATCAGACCGTAGCGCACTTTTGTCCTTTTTCATGGAACTCGATTACCCCTATTAGTGGCAGGGGGGGCTGTTTACGACCCCCCCTTGATATCTCGAGATCTAGCGGGCCGATTTTCAAAATTCAAACGGCATTCGATTTTGCTCAACGCGATCTACATTTCTAAAAAATAAAAATTAAAAAATGTCAATAGGGGGGGGGGGGGTAGAGGGGGGCAAAAATGGGCAAATTGCCGATACATTTTAGACTGTTTATCACGGCCAGGTTTCTGAACCAATCTTAGCGCAACTTTTGCCGATCGATAGAGAATGAACCAGGAATTCACATGGATTCTAAAAATATGCATTTTCAAAAATCATAGGCGGATACAGATCATTGAGATTGGGGGTACACAAAAAGTATAGTAAATAAGGTTTTTGTTGGTACTGTTTCTAAAAAGGGTGGTAATGGTCTTGTTGTGTTACAATTTTCTTATGAGAGAACGACTACAATTGTATTGGTCATGCATAGGCGGTGTCAGGGCACCTATGTTGGGAGGTAAAACATAACCCCCCTTTTTGGACGCCTGGATCCGCCTATTATAGCAAAAACGTGTCAAAAGAGGATGCACAATAACTTTGTATATGTTATCACATGATACCTTTCATTCGCTGTTCGTAAAACTGGTACAGCATCGTGATCTTCGCCCAAATGACACGCTTCACGAATAGGACCCCCAATTCCAAGTGCTCTGGAGCCGCCCCTGGTAAAGTTATGAACTTGAAATTTTCAGGGAATGTGCCCAATTTAGTGTTAGGAAAAGTCAGAAAATTTCAGCATCGTAGCTTCAGCGGTTTCGGAGATATTCCCGAAAAACCTGAGGGGTGGATAAAAACAACCCCCCCCCCTGCCACTAATAGGGTTAAACATCAACACTGGGGTGGAGCTAAAACAATTTTATGCAATCAGTCTGGAAGTCTGGGTGAGGTGAAAATTTGTCGGTCGTCCACTTTCCCTTCTTTATTAGACCACTGAAAACAAGTGTCACTGTGCCTTCTGTTTGCTTTCAGATCCACTGAGACCGTAGATCCATCACTCGGATCCGTGCTCATGTCTGATACCAATTACATATTTCTCTGAATCTGATGTAGGACCATCTACAATGCATATGCATATGCATAATGCACCCACAATGCAAAGCGTATCGACTTTCCACGCAAGCCACTATGTAACCAAACCGAGCATCTTCTGCCCAGCTCCCTTTCATTCATTCCACACATTCTCTAGTACCATTCCGTCAAATGTTTGCATCTACTAGACACATGTATTTATATACAAACATAATCAAAACACTTGAGAACAACACCCTTTAGTTCCTCCCACATCCCTCCCTCCCCACCCCCACCTGTACCCTAGTCGTTACTGGAAGCCGTTGAAGGCACATCTGGCGAACAGTTGACCTTGACCTTGACCTCCGACTTGCCGAGGGAGGCCATCTTTTGGATGTGCTTGGGGTACGGCTTTGGCACGACCCCCGACCGGTATAACGTCTGATGGCGAGAGAACATAACGGCTTCTTTGAATATCATTGTATGGGATAGCCCATTGATGTAGGTGACGCTCGGGGATGATGTTTGTGAAGACTGATAATTTTCATTGCTGACACTTTTTAACGCTCTCGGTCTGGCTACGACAGATTGAAAACTTTTTCACTCTTACAAAGCACAGTAACACGTAACTATTGACATCATTTGCCAACACCACAATGAATGGATGAATGTAGGTATCCACATTAAACTTGAAGTACCTTATTTCTGGCAGTCAAGGTATGACTGACAGAAAGGTTAGGCCAGCTGGTGCTACGATACTCTATTTAAGTCACTTAGGTAAAGGATGGAACCCAGTTGACAGGCGGTCAGCAGCTGAGGTGAAAACCCAGCCAGCCTTCTCAAGTGGGGCCCACATGGGCCCCAAGTGGGCTCCAAACTGGGACCCATCTGGGCTGCCCACCTTGGACCCAGATGGGAATGTCATGGGCGTCCAACTGGGTCCCATCTGGGCACCCCAGACGGGGCCCATGTGGGACCCATCTGGGGCCCGTATTGAGCCCGCATATGGGCTTTCCCAGTTGGGACCCACATGGGCAGCCCAAGTGGGGCCCATATGGGACCCAGCTGGGATATATGGGTCCCACACGGGCTTTCCCAGTTGGGACTCAGACGGACACATGCAAAAAGCGCGCATGGAATTAAATTGGGATTTGGTACCTAGCTTATCTCGTCCACTATTTCCGCGTGAATCCCAAAAAGCAATGTGTTCACACGTGGGAGAACCGCGTACCCTTTGCCTCTCACTAGATCCCCAGAGATTCGAACTTAAGACCTATGGAACATGATGCGGGGACCCTAACCACTACACTACGCTACCACTGCAGGAAGGCGGCAGGCGGCTGGTAGAGAACGGAAGCGTGGATGCGTACCTATTGTGAAAAGGGGGAAGAGTTTGTAACGATAGTGATAGAGGCCCGAGCGGTCCGTCAGCGCCGTATTGCGTCTATTTATAGTCACCAACTGCCGGCGGGGCGGCCGCGCCACCACACAACGAACGCCGGCGACACAGTATCAGCGACCTCGCAGGGACACGGGCAGGGGTGTGCCCAGGCGGCTGTCAGATCAGGAGTCTGGCAGTGTAGCGGCACAGTGGAGGCGCTGGCCAAGTCCAGCACGTAAAGTTAGCACATCTAGCCCATCTGGGACCCAGTTGGACGCCCATGACATACCCAGATGTAGCCCAGCCCACATTCGCCCAGATGCCCCACTTCCAGCCCATGTGGGCCCCATTTGGGATGGCTGGCTGGGAAGCGAGTGACCGTTGAAAACTGTCAACCCCCAGACGATGAAACAAAGGTTGGAAGGGACAGAATTATTTCATGGAGAGAGTAGTCATCTTAGAAGATGCCTAGATGACCTCCTAATCAGATAAAGTCATTTAAAGGGAGTGTGAGCCCTTTACAGTTTACTGGAGGAAGAGGGAGGTCAACATAGGGCAGGGCTGGTCCTCTAAGAAGGGGTCACCTCAGGCCAGAACAGGGTATGAATCAACACACAGTGCAACCGCTGCGACTGCTGACTAATGAGACTTACTTTGAGGCCGGAGATGATGTCGTTGCCCGACAGCTTGACGTTCAGCTTGATCTGCGCGCCGTTCAGCGACAGCACCTCAGTCATGTTTGTGAGATTCTGTTTCACCTGGCGACGAAGACAAGGCGCTTTAATTTATTGGTCTAAAATAAAAAGTAGATAGATATTGCTGCGATTAAAAGGCTCTCTATTCATGACGCTCAGCACACTGCACTGGCCTGCTCCTCCGCTTCTTACACGTACACATCCACACCTTGCTCGAGTCTGCGGACGACTGGTCCAGGGTACAGAGTCACTCACGTTATAGGTGATTTCAGAGAGGACAGGCAGCTCCGTCCCTGCCGGCCCGAACATCAGCTCAGCCTGGGTCTCCGGATCGTCATCCAGCTCATCCGCCTTCCGCTTTCTTGCGTGTGAACTGTCGCGGCGAGGCATGATTCCCTGTCTCTGAAAGATAGAAATAGATATCGTGATCACAGAGGCGATACTTCGCTACACCATGTCAGTCATTGCTATACCTACTAAGTACCTCCAGAGTACAGATTGACTGTGTGAAGCAAGTGACTTCTAGGATTAATCTGCTATTGAGCCAGGTTCATACAAGTGGCGGGTCATGCATCTTTCTTGTGTTCGTCCCTTCATACAACTCAAATGTTATAAAACGTTCATCTACTTTTGCTACTATCACTTACTCATCACCCAATAAATAAAGGCATATAAAAAAAATAAAGGTATGATGCAAAATCAGAGCAATCTTAACATGAAGATATTCCCATTGCCTTCTATCACATGATGCAGCATGATGCAAAATCAGAGCAATTTTAAAACGACGATATTCCCATTGCCTTTTATCACTAAGTAGTATTAGTCATTAATCAAGCCATGGTGAAAGTGGCACTAGCATTTCAGGATGAGGTTGCAGCAAAAAGATGACACAACACACACACAACTGTCCAAAAGGCAGCCTTCCTTTGGCTTAGTAATTCACTTAATTCATGATTAACTGCTCAAAAGGCAGCCTTGCTTTAGCTTTATAGTTCATTTGATTCCTAATTTGGTATGCTTAGCACAACTACTCAGTCAAGTGTATAACACCAACAAAGTCTTGCACAATCAGTCATGGACTTTTGAAAGTTCCGCACATCAAGGAGGTGGATCCATCAAGCTTGACTGAGGATTGAGGAAGGGCTGCTAACTTTGAGAATCGCTGAACTACCTAATTGACCTGGGGGATGGACCATGGATGAAGATATGAATTCATTTTCAATATGGTGATTTTTTTGTTCTTGGTAAATTGTTTAAATACAGCTGTGGCACTATGGTTCAAGAAGAAAGGCCCCTGTAGAGATAGCCCTGCCTTAGATTAGAGAGGGAATCAGGGAGGAGCAGGAGTGACGGCAAGATGGCATTATCTAATTTACTGGTTGCTTAAGGTACTTGTTGTTTTGTATGATATTGCTAAGTTGGCTTAAGATTTGGTGACTGACACATAACCACTTAACCTAAAAATATTTGACCTACCTACCATTGTCTGTAAGTGTAATCTCTATTCTCTCTTAAAGGAAAAGGGCCACCTTTAACATGGGGATTGAAACTGAGATAGCCATCTTGTAGCCCGTGTCCGAAAACCTGTCTGTCTATCTCCTTACGGCCGATTTCGGCCTCCATTCGTAGATATCGGCAATTGTAAAAGAAAATACGCCAGGAATGCGTTCTTATCCAAGGAATGCGTTCTTATCCGACAATACAGCCACCCGCGGCGAGGCTTTGGTTTTTTACCAATCAGCTCCAACCAGCTCAGCTTTAACCAATCAGCTTATCTGACACAATCCGACGAGTCTGTCTTCTGAACGCTGATTGGCTTGAGTGTGACGTCATCGCTATGCCATCATACAGTAGGTGCCATAGAGAGTATCAACATAGTACCAATATGTTAAATAGTTTTAAATACTTTTTCGCGAATTGTGCACTTCTGGCACCAGTTTTAAAAAGAAAATGAAAAATAATAATGTCAAAATGAAAAACAACGATATCTTCATATTTCACGAAGGTGGCCCTTTTCCTTTAAGACATTGCCTTCGGCATTGTACTGCTTCGCCTCATGTGTGTGGAGTGTGGTAACACTTTGCTGTAACAGTAAATATTTCACAGGTATTTTGATACTTTGTCCCAGAATGAATAGGTAACTATCAGATATGTAATCTGAATCAGGTCAAAAACACTGTATAGTGTGCTTTTCATAATCAGTTAAGCATTCAGACTTAATATATACTAATAGGTACCGAATATTTATTCAAAAATACCAGAATTCAGTCACAGTGTCATTTGCCTAGAATGTTGAATTAAATGTGGTTGTTCTATAGTTTTGATGATGCTGTTGTGAGGTCAAAGTGGTGTGACACTTATAAATTATAACAAGGCAATATAAAAGTAGGGAGAGAAACATCATGATCAGCCGTTTTAGTCTCAGGTCAGGTCAGGAGATAGGTGGCTAAGGTAAGGTAAGGTCAAGTGAGGTCAGGAAGGTACCTAAGGCTTATATCAATATAAATATTAAATTGGGTTAAAGTATGCAACAATGTAGGTACCGTAAAATGGGGTGTTAAGGGACAGTGGGGTGTTAAGGGACAGTTGCATGGGAAAAACTTTGAGTCATATTAACTTCCTAATTTGAGAAGGTTCAATAAAAACTTCAGTGTGGTAGTTGACACTGTTTTGTTCTTGACCATAGGACAAAATGCTATGGTTTTTCATGCAAGTGATTTGGTTCAAAAATGGATTTGAAAATCATGCTACATTTTCACAAAATTAAAACATCTCCAAAACTCTGTGTGTACCTCATAAACTAGTGGGTGTACAGGGAAAATGAATGCATAGGTGTATTGTCACATGTATTGCACATGTTTCCTGAAAAAACTTGTGCAAATCCACCCATTCATTCATCATCCTCTTTCTCTTTTCCGGATACATGCATATTTTGAGGTGGATGTGGGCACAGGGAAGAAAAAATAAATAAAATCTAAATATAATTTAATCAAGTTTTCTTTCAGTAGGCATGGAAAACACCAAATTCCACATAAAATGCTGGCAAGTTCATGCTTTTATCTCTAACACATCCTAAGTTATGTAACAAAACATCTCAACACTCTCTTTTACAATGATGGGTCAATGGAGACTGATGTAGGTAAATGTGATTTCATCATAAAAAGGCCAAAACAAAGAGGGCAACATAATGACAAGTGACTAGCTTCAACATGGGTTTTTATTGATGACAGAAGATTACTTTTTGGTTCTGTTTACCTTATAATTAGCACATTTTCCACAAGCGTAAACAGCATTACACGTAATTGGCTAAAAAGGTCATTAGTGGTGAATGAACCTGACTTGTTTTGTGACAGAATATGCAAAACATTTCAATAAATAAATTGTGTGCCCTTCCACACCCCAATTGTGGGCATTTGATGACCATTTCTTGGAATAACATAGGTGTCCCTTAACACCCCACATTGGGGTGCTAAGGGACAGTGATGAAAAATAATAAAAAATAATATGCAGGCATTAATCTTAAAAACTTTAATGTGGCAGGCATGTCAAGCACCAAATTCCACATAAAATGCTGACAATTTGATGCTTCTATCTCCAACCCTTCTTGAGTTATATAACAAAACACCTCAAAACTGTCCCTTAAAGGGACCCTCCCACCTTCAAAAAAGTTAATGAATTGGCATGAAAGTGATGTCGCTCGGTTCAGAAAGAGCAAAAACGAATATCTACCAAATTTCATCGAAAAATATTCACCGGTTTTCAAGATATTAGGCTTTTACTTTTGTTTACTTTTTGGGATCTCCGCTGTTCCTAGCGACTTTATTTGAAAGTGCGGCATTTGTTGCGCGCAAAGCAGCATATACCACCGCGTGCTACAAAACGTTTTAGTCAAACATTTAACGGACGTTCGAAAGCCTGCTGACGTCATCAGATTCCCGTAATGGTTAAGAGATAGGGACTAAGCTGGTCCCACCCTGCAAGTAAAGGGAAGAAATTTCTTGAACACCATAAAGCTGCGGGGGTTGCGACCAGGATAAATGGTGGTTTCTGAGCCTGGCCGCAAACTTGGCTATCTCAACTCAAAACTAATGTTAAGGTGGGATGGTCCCTTTAACACCCCGTTTTACGGTACCTAATATTTTTTGTGATGTGGCTCATATGCCTTCAAATGCTATATAATGCTTAAAAACAACATTTGCAATGGATAAGATCATCACAAGCACTAAAGTTGCAAAAAAAAATCAAGCAGAAATTACAAACACATTACCCACATTACCCACCTATGTCCAGTGATACCGAAGCGGTAAAAAATTAACACAAAAATCAAAATTTCAAATTTCGTGCATTTTGCAAACGTATCAACTGCGCAATTTATGTATACTTTTGGTCAGGAACTTCCTTAATTTACTGCTATCACTATTGTTTGACGCTATTAATTCACTGCAAAATTTGCACCTTTTGCACTGAACACGCAAAAACATACCAGACTGCAATCAAAGTGATCTGAGTAATTTTCTATATGGTATTGCATCCTATGCTTTGATGCTGGTGAGTGGTGACATGAATCTCATGTTAATTTCCATTATGACTGAGAGGGTCAAATAGTGATTTGGCGTATCCAGGGGGGAGGCCAAGAGGCCATGGCCTCCCCCTTTGGGATCAGACATGCAAGTGGGCCCTTTGGGTCACTTGAGTGCAGTGACGTACCCAAGGGGGGCCACGGGGCCCCTGACTCCTGAGGTCCAAGGATGACTCAGGGGGACCAGCGTAACGAAGGCGTTCTGGGTCTCCCTGCCAATTAATTCCAGTACCTACTAGACAGAACGTCTTTTACTCGGAAGAAAAGCTGATATCAAAGAGCGATATCTATCACAGTGACGAACACAGAGCACTCCTAACTACTTGAGAGCCCCTGGCTACCTGAGGGGCCCCCTGGTTACCTACCTGAGGGTCTCCCTGGTCACCTGAGGAGCCCCTGGTTATCTGACGAGCCCCTTAGTTACCTGAGGGGCCCCTGGTTAGCTGAGGGGCCCCTGGTAGTCTGAGAGGTTCCTGGTTGTCTAAGGGATCCCCTGGCTACCCGAGGGGCCCTGGTCACCTGAGGGGCCCCTGGTTAGGCATCTGAGGGGCCCTGGTTACCTGAGGGCCCCTGGTCACGGGACCCTGTTTACCTGAGGGGCCCCTGGCTACCTGAGGGACCCCTGGTTATCTGAAGGACTCCTGGTAAAGGACCCCTGGTTACGAGGGCCCCTGGTTACCCGACGGGCCTCTGGTTATCTGAGGGGCCCCTAGTTACCCAAGGGGCCCCTGATCCCCTGGATGGCCCCTGGCCAGTCATCTAAAGAAGCCCTGGTCACCTGAGGGGCCATGTTTACCCGGGGAGTACCTGGTTCTCTGAAGGG